TTTCAACTTTATGGTGTTAGAATAATTTTCAACTAGAGACTAGAGGTAAACAGCTATTTATTAAAACAAATCTATGTTAGAAGTAGACATATTATTCTTAAAACCTTGACACAGACAGATATCTGTTGGAAAATTACCCATGACGAAAGAAATAGGTCACAAAATAATCAAGTGGGTCTTTAGAAATCTGTTGGAAAATTAAAGGTATTCAAATATCTGCTACAAAAATATAATATCAACAGGTATAGTATAAATCAAAGCTACGTTACCCTGAAGAGATTCCTTGATGATTTCATTTTGTTCTTTAAAGACTTATTTTTTACGAGAAATGAAACTCACTTGATAGGTCATCAATTTTGGTTTTGTTTAAGGTAAGTACCGCCATTTTTCCTCTTACTTGAATATTTACTTATTCCACATATTTTCCTATTACTATAATAAGTTTATTTCTTAAGCTTCTGGACATTTATATCGTGAGATTAAGGTGACGTACTAGGTAATGTAAACATATTTAGTAAAAAAGAAGAAGAAGAAAGAAACAGCCAGCTTCCAGCGAAGTTTTTTTTTACTTCCTTGAGGATTCGTCTAGTGGCTTTTTTTCGAGAGGTGACCATATTGAACAAATGATTAGCCTGAGCAAAACCAACGAATGATGTTAAATCAAAACAAAATTAACAATTTCCTTTTAAGAAAATTATATGTTAAAGTTGCTTAAATTACATTTGTGTTCAATAGAGTTACTTTCTGATAAAACAATAAAGCAAAACGTCGAGAAGATAAACAAACTTCACTGTTTACTGCCGTTTTTATTTCTTCTTTTGTTTATAACTCACTAATCTTCTAAAACACGTCAGACCTTTAGACGAAGCAAGAAAACTTCAAAAGTAGTTCATTCTTTTGGTATTATTGATTCTTTCTTACGTTACATTTATAATTAAAAACTACTGTGTCAACTAAATCCACTTTGGATTGGTAACAAGAGATGGGATATAAAAAAGTGTGTGATGTAGTACAGAAGTTTGATTTACTGAATACAATATATATTGTTTTTTTTAATTTCTCAATACCATACTTTTCAAACTGTTGAATTAACTATTTACTTTTAACGGTTGTTTTTTGCACTTTATAAAGACTGATAATCTTTTACAAACATTTTAAAGTAGACTGAATTAAAAAATGATGCATCATATTTGATTTAATAATTAATTACCGGTGTTGTGTATGAACTTACCTTTTACAAAGACAAGTTCAAGGAGTTTTCAAAAATTCTGAAAATAGGATTAAAGATGGTAAAAAATGATAAAGTATCGATTAATGGTTTCTGTACTAAGTATATACTATCCTGAAGCAGAGATGTAGAAGTAGAGATTTGATAAATTTGTGTTGAGCTCGTTTCTAGGATAAAATGCCCAGGAAATTGCAAGAAAGCTACACACATTTACCTATTCGTTTTTGGTTTGATAATGCTGGAATGCTGTAACTGTACAATAAAGTGTTTTAATGATTATATGAAAGACAGCAATTTTAGTGAATCGCATCTCTAATTTCATCTCTTTCCGCACATAGGTTTTTTTTTTTAGTTGCTATAAGTACAGTATGTATTAATTTCTGGCTCATATCGTTATAATAATCCATTAATATTCAAATACTTATAATATAATACTAAATCATGTATGTGGTTTCCTCTGTCCATAGGTACCAGGAAAAAAACTTTCATTATATTAAATTGATGTATGTCATACTTATAATAACTAAGAAACATATGTGCGGATGAAGAACAAAACAGCCTGAAGCTTTACATGAGTCTAGAGGGACTGCTTACCACACACAAAAAGACAAACAAAAAAAAAAACGTAAATTCTAGAAAACTATAAACTTCCATCTATTTATTGAGTTTTTCATATTTACTTGAAGGTGTTTGTTTGTTTGCTGTTAAGCGCAAAGCTACACAATGGGTTTTCTGTGCTGTGTCGACCACACTGTACGTGCTTGAAATTGTTGTTATATTTGGAAGATTGTTGACTATGTTACTAATGGTGAACTATAAAGGGTTGAGTACGTTATTTTCAAACAATTTTCAATGTACAAGTCAGCAATTCATGTGACAATTAAGCCGATATAAAGTTGTGGTGGAACGGTATGTACCAGAACTACATTTTGACATTGTTTGTCATTTAGAAGGTAGTGGGATGCCACAGAAAACTGATCACTTTTGGGAAGGATATGTAATAGCCCTTTATTTCTTAAAATATTTATACACCCAAACCATAAAATGTGTTCAGATCGTGAACTTAGAATTACCAGGACAGGAAAATCAGTTGTACTTAATGACATTGAAAACATAGGAAGTATGAATCAACTTGATCATCCAGAAAGAGGCCTGTAACAAGTCCTACAGCGTGGTAAGCAAAGTGCAACATTCTGTAACAGGTGAGAACCCATGAACACAAAGGTCAGTGGCAAAAGCTGTCCACGTGCCCTAGTCAACAGTATGCAATGTAATCATGAAACATCTCCGTCTGGAAAAGCAACATCACGTTTATACAAATTTCTTTCGCGACATAGCCTTTCAATCGTCACATACTTCGAGCAGTTGGACAATGAAATGGATATTCGTACTTTTCCATGCGAATACATACCAGTCAAATATTCGAATGCAGCGCCTATAAATTTCTGTGTGATCTGACGGTTGAAATGGGTAATGGAAAACTGTATCTAGTACACAAGATGGACGATGGAAAGTAAGTAGGGAGGAGTGGTGTGCTTTGGACACGGTATATTTACGATAGACCTTTTCGAAATAGAAACTATGCTGCAAGTCTATTATAAAGGTACAGCATAACTGGATATAGTGACATGGACTGTAAGGAAGTAGTGAGGTTCTAAAATGGTTTTAATATAAAGTATTCAACCTCTATATATCTATCTATTTCATCAATTGATAATATTTATACTT